CACAGCGGTGTATTTCATCCCTTTCCTCCTCTTTCTCTTTCTCTCTCTCTCTCTCTCTCTCTCTCTGTCGTGCTTCTTCCCTCTTTGGCCTGGGTATACGGTGCCGTGTAGCCCGGCCGCTTTATTCGCTACGTCCTTTTAATTCAATAGCTACCCTTTTTATAAGGTGGCGGATGTCGAGCGAAGACGGAAGTCGGCCGTGTCGCTTACAACGTCACCCATCAACGATATGCCAGAGATCAACTTCGCTTACCTATCGACGTAAGCTTGTTCCCAGGATTGATATTCTCTTTCCCCGAATTCGAATTGGCTGCCCAATTTTTCCCTTTGTCCAACGCTCCCATACGAGGAGGGGATATTTATCGCAACGTTTGGAAATCACGCCCTCGTCGGATCGAGAACTCAACGAACCGCTTACTTAATTGTATTTTAGGAAAATATCTTAGGAATATTGTTACGCGCGAGGACGTAACACGCGAGGAAATGATTATAGGAGAGTTAAAAGGAAGTAGATTGACTCCTGGTCCGGTACGTGTGTGCCGGACCATTGTTGTCTGGTGCTACTTCGTCGCCGTACGTTTAAGTTATTAATTAGCATGTTCGCACATCTTCTTGGTATAGTGTGACACGATGCTATATGATCTATATATATATATATGTATATATCTGTGAATATTTCTTCGAATGAATTATATCGTTATCATTATCTATGGAATTGGTAATTTCTTTGATTCATCGAGTAAATTTATTTATGATTATTAGTATTTTCTTACATGATTATTTTTCCATGAATTCCTAGGTAATACTTTTAATAAGATATTATTATAAAAATTTCATAGATAATTTACATTCATTATAATAATTATTCAAGATAAAAAAGAATAAGAACTGAAATGAAAGAAATTCATTCAGACGCGGATTAATTAAAATTCGTTTTTGTTTATTTCGCATTTATACTTTGGATACTTTATTACTTTATCTTATTTGCGCGATGCGCGATTAAAAATATTCAATTGTACGGTTTGTTGAAAACGTTAGCTAGGGGGAAAAAAAAAGAGTAATAGAGGAAAAGAAAAACGTTGGAACGCTTTATTTCCCGAACGTCGAAGCGAAAATTCATACTTGTCCAGCGGCGTGCGTCACTGGGAACGGTTATTTCACCGTGGAAATAAGTTCGTAATAAACGTTGAAATACTACGTGTCGACAAATAACCGAAATTCGTTTTTATCACGGAAACGATGCGGTTAATCGTCGTTGCCTCTGTTGTACGCGAGACTTATCGACACGGTTTTGAATTTCTGAAAAACAATTAATAGGAAAAAACAACGAGGCTACGGAAAAAAAAGAAGAAAAGAAAAGAAAAGAAAAAGAATTTCGAAGAAGAAAAATTTCGATCTCTTAAAGGAAATTTTGCAGAAATGCCACGCGTAGATCTATATACACCAAGAATCTATATTGCCTTCAGAAGGGGCGCGGATGTCAAAGAAATTTAATAAACATGGGAGAACGCTTCCATCGTTCGACTGTTCGGCATTCTTGCATTAATATGAAAATAATTTACAACGGAGTTACAGTGGAGTTAATATTCGAGACGTACTGCTTTCAAAGCGGCTCTTCGACGGACCTCTACGCACGGACAGAAATTAGACGCTAAAATTATATATATATATATATAATGCCCGATTTCTCGAAATCTTCCACGCGTTAAGTTTGACCGTGTATCTTACCAATTTATCCGCGATCTTTAAACGGAAATATTCGGGTCAGAGTATGCAAATACATGGATAATCGTATTAAAGATAATTAACGTGGTTGGTACGTAGTATTCGATCATCGAATGGAGCGAGGGAATGGCGGCGAGAAATTTTGAAGTACGTCGCGTGGCGATATGCGCGGCCGAATGAACGCTCCACACGACGGAAAATGGTGTAACCAGCGGTTTCGCTCGGTTCCTATGCTTCCAAAAATACGTTGGAATTCTCCGGTTTAATGAAACAAACATAACCAGAGAATGCACGGCACGATTCGTACGCGCACCGCAGGAATCCTCCGGCTGCAATGCAACCGTATTTCAAATATTCCCCGTTTGTAATTTTTATCTTTGGCCACGACCAGCTGCATCCACTTTTTGCGACTACTTAATTAATGTTTAATTATCGTTACGATCGTACTCCAACAACTCGATTAACCGAGTTCAATGCACTTTTAGCGGGAAAATTTGAAATGTAAATTGTTAAAAAGATAATCATTATAACGGGGAACGGTGTTTCGATCAAAATCTTTTGAACTAATTTTCGAGCTCGAATCAAAAATTAGAGTAACTTAACGGATCAGTTTAATTTTTAAATTAAGATTCAAGTAAGAACGCTTGTATTTTTTTGTTTCTTTTTTTTTTTTTTTTTTTTTTTTTTTGTCTTTTCCTTTTTCGCTTTTTCTTCGAACGATATTAAGAGAGACGAACGGCAACAATGGCAACGAAACACTTGGGCGGTGGAAACACACAGAGGCATATATGCCTGTACGCGATCGATTTTAAACAGGCGAGACGAGCAGCGGCAAATTGACAATATGTCGAATGCAGACAACCGATGCCTCTGGCTAAAACTACCCTTTCGCGTTGCGAGACCGAGGTCCGTTCTAGGTGTAACGCGAATTCCGTTTTCCGGAACTTCTCCGCGTTCTCCTATATTTTTCACGTTACTTACGTTCGATCAAAGATAGCGATTCGATCAGCAAACTTTAAAACGATAATTACAACATACTTGATATTATATTTCGAAAAAAATATTTCATTATTGAGAAAAAAAAACGATATACGAATACTTGAATCGGAATGTTCGATCACGGATAGATTAGTTTTCCCTTTCTTTCAAAATCATCTTCGCAACAATCATGTTTAACGGCGAAATAAAACGGTAAAACGGAAATTAGAAATAAAAAAAACTGCCGTTTTATGAACGGATTTATTCCGTCAAACGAAATCTCTGTCCACTTCCGGCCCCTCTGTCTAGTTAATTTTTTTCCGTCGTATAGTTTCGTCCTCCAAATATTGGACGAATCAGAGGGCGTGCGTTGAAGCTCACCCTCTTGGGCCTGCACGCCTGTAGAAGTAATACCACTTTCGCGACGCACCGTGTGCCCCGCCTGTTCGAATTGGAACAACGTGCAACGGGCAACAGGCGACACACAGGTAGACAGGAATTTCTGATATTACATACCAGAAGCCGGAATGCCCCCATAACAATCCCGAGGGAGTGTACGAGGTTCTCCACATACGCCAGACATATTCCACGTCTAGCACGCCTCCCCGGCTCTCGTCAGTGTCTCCTGTTCCCTACAAATAGGGAACTGTTCCGCGTCTATCTCTTCCTCC